GCGAACGCATACTTCTGGATATGCGCGGTAAAAAAAAAGTGGAAATTGTCCGGTCGAATTGAACAAAGTGAGCGAAAAAAAAGCGATCAAAATCCGGACATTACAGGTTCCTGGTGCACGTTATTTTATTTTTTAGATCAGATTCAGAATGGCTGACTAGTGGCCATTTTTTTTTAATGAATGAGCTTCTAGAGCCATATCTCTACTTGCTTTGACTGACTATGTTCAAATTATACCTGTATTCAAAATGGCTGATTTTGTTTTAATTGATGCTGTTCCAGAGCAATATCTCTCAATACTCGTTTGATGATCAGATACAAATGTCAATCATTTAAATGTTAAACAATCATCATAATCCTATTCCTGACATGTTTATATTCCAGCTTATTACTATAAACAAAACTATATGTCTTAAATTTGATAACTAACAGGGACTGTGCCATGCATGGCTTGTTATATACTGTAAAAGGGCTAATTATTCACTGGGTTTTAATATTGCTTATTTCGCTGACTGGGAAATGCGCTAAATTAAACCCCTTGAATATATAAAAGTTAGCATAGAACTCATTATCTAAATGATAAAAGTGAATTTAAAACCAACTGAATATGCCTGATATGGTAAATCAGTGAAATTTAAACCCAGTGAAAATTAGTCATTTTACAGTATATCTCTTGCAATGTCTGGAAAGCTACTGAAAAAAGTCATCGGTTTCCCATCTATATTCATGCTTGAAAGTAGGCCGAAGTATCCGCAGACCCGCAGAATACAAGTATCCAGATAATTGTTTAGGATTGACAATTTCTCTGTTCAGCCACCTAAAACAGGCTGTCTGATGCTAATTACTTATTCATCCTTGCAAAACAATGGCCCGCAAAAGACAAAATTTTCTTTGAAACGGATTGGAAACTGCCCGGCTTGCGGGAAACAGTATCGGGGAAAGAAAAAACTGTGTCGGATAGAGTTCAGCCTGACCTATGGCATATCAGCGAAAATTATAGAGTATCGGGCCGATATGCAAATTATCCACACACAAACTGACAATGGGCCACATGACCAAGAGTGGTATTCGTGAAAGTTATTTTACTGTAAATACCTGTTTTGACAGCAATCTGTGGAGGCGAGATCACAAAGGATTCTGGACAGCTCCAGAGCCCCAACTTCCCTGATTATTACAGACCAAACAAGGAATGTATTTGGAAGATTACTATGCCAGAAGGCAGCAATGTTGGAATTTCATTTCAGTCATTTGAGGTGAGTATCCAAACAATGGTCTGTGTGCCATTCTATTTGATTGCTTACCATCATAAAATGATTGCTTCAATTTGTGTATTACATGTGAAAGCCATTGAATCATTGTATCCTGTGAGTTGTATGATACAAGCACTTAGCTTTTTAGCTCCCCTGTGACTTTGTCGAGCGGAGCTTATCATATGAGTGATTGTCGT